AGGTGGAGGAGGTGACGGAGTCGTGTTATCCCCCGTCCTTGGCATGAGAGCGCTGAGGACGGTGGGGTTCTAAGCCAGACTAGCTATGATGGCCGATAGAGCAGCCTGAAGTTGAGGGTCAACAATGGGAGTAGTCTGTTTCCCCGAGACCTGGTCGTGTTTTTCCTTGCGTTTGTTCTCAAGGTCCATGTGGGCGTCTTGAGCGTTGACGTTGAGCTGATTGCGGAGGTCAGCCGTATTGTCAATGGGCTCCTGGAAGATTTCTTCCTCCATTCCTTGTCGACCGTAGCGTCGCCCGACCTTTCTCGGTTTTCCTGAGTGTCGGGGAGTGCTTTGCCGATGAGGTTACGATTTGACCTTGTTCTTCCCATTTCGGTGAATGTTTATCTGGTAGCGACGAAGGGTATTGACTTGATTGTTCTAGCTCTCAATCAAAGCACCAAATGATAGAGTATAAGTTTAGAGAGAAGTGAGAGCTAGAGAGAAAGAGTGCAATTAATATTACTCAACCCCTTGCAACTACCCCCAAAGGGGGTATTTATAGGGAAAATGTGGGCTAGGGGTCCCAAGTTCTGGGCTTGGGAGGCCCATTACAATATAAGGCCTCTATTGGGCTGGACGCAATTCAACAAATTTGACTAAGTATAGAATCTGGTTCTACGGAGTCTTTTTTGCCGACGGAGTGCCATGCCGACGGAGGACCATATTGCGTTCATGTGCTTCTGAACCATATTCTGGATTGGTTTGAGTTTGGCCGATGGAGGACCATCTGGCCGACGAAGGGCCACATGGGTGCCAGTTCTGCTTTGTCTTGGTCTTCTGAGTATGTGGGTCATGGGTCTGGACCTATATACTCTATCAAAATTAAATTACCATTTTTAGTCAGTTGCATCTTTGTTTCGATACATAAAAATGAACTTCTTTTCATGGCATAAGAATCTCATAATTGAAACAAAGCTCTAGTTTTAAACGGAGTTTAAAGAAGTCAATTTTAATAAAATTTTGTTTTAAGTTAAAATAAATGGCCAAGACATTGCTAAGGCAAGCAAAAGGAATGTTGTTCTAAAACTTTCCATTTAATTGAAAGAAAGTATTGATTGAACAATTCATTTTGCACCAATCAAGTCAATAGTGACCATATCATTCTAGTGAATTTTTAGCACCAATCATAAGAAGTATAACCACCTTACCACGAGGTCGGTTGAGGTTCTAATTTTCAACATCTGAAATCGCATACACTAGAAACCGCATCAACAACGCTATCGAAGTACTACAGTGATAAAAGTACATTCGTCAGAACAAATAACAAGATGAATGGCAATGCTCCTACGACGTGCACCTAAATAGGAAATTAGATCTACTTCTTTTCAAAACCTCTATAACATATGATAAAAACACCTAGGAAATTATCACCCAGCATTAAATCTATAAAATAGGAGAACAATTTCTATGTTGCAAGTTTTGTAGGATGATTTAAGAAAAAATGCAGGATAACATAAAGAATAACGAAACCAAATACTAGTAAAACCGGAAGAGGGTGCACTACAAGGAATAGGAAGCAATAGAAAAAGAAATATTTGTAAAGAAACCTTCACAACGGACCATAACGAAAGACTTAGAGTTAGGGAAGAATATGGAAAGTGTTGATCCCAGTTAATATCAGAGAAGTAGTCTAGAGGGGGGATAGATTGTTCTTGGTTTCTCATTTCTTTGTGAGACGGAAACTTTCTATCTCATAAAACAAGCCTGCAACGGAATATGTTGTTCTAGTTGAGTAGCCTACATAACACGATAAAGGCAAAACGCCTTTAGATTTCTCTTAAGGCGTATTCTGCTAAACACAAAGACTACGCACTTTAGAACAAGACAATTAGACCCTAAGTATAAGAAGTAAAAGTAGTAAGTAAACGACACCAATAATTTTTATAGTGGTTCAAGAAACAACGTGTTTCTCTAGTCCACTGTTCCACTAAGATGCTTGTAAAATCATTACAACACTTAGATCCCTAGCACTTAACAATCTCTCCGCGTCTTCTTCAAATGTAGTGTCCTTGTCACCTAGGTACACTTCCTTGCTTCATGATGACTGGCCTTTCACCGAGTTTGCTTGAAGTATCCCCACTTCACTCTGGTTAATTACTTTGGTGCCCTTCTTTTGCAAGAAGAATACTTTTGAAAGGTTCAAAAGGTTTTTCCTTCAACGTATTCCGTGCAAGATATGTTGTTGTAGATTTCAGAGAGGTTGAAGAACAAGGACGAACTTGTGTTGAGAGTTGGATGTAGGATTTGAAAAATATATCTTTCAAGCTCTCGTATGAATTCTTGTGTTGTTTTTGCTCTCAAGATTTTGTAAGCTTGAATTTCAAAGTTCGTAGCCGTTCAGTTCTTCTAGGTGTATCTTTTATACTGACAGTGGTCTTCCCGTTAGAGTGTAATTGACAACTTCATTAAATGCATGTCCTGTAGACTTGACCAGTCAGTCCCAATATTCTCGTCAACTTATTATTTTGGGAGTATTAAATAATATTCTCTTGTATAACGCGGTCAATCATGGATAACATTAAATGAGTATTTAATGGGCAGCTTCGTAGATCTTCCATTAAGAGGCTCCTTGTTGTTAGGGTATATCCCATTAGTATAACGGAGACTTCAAAGACTTGATCAATTCTGTATGAGGGAGCTTTTCTGTTGCGCTTCTGTTGTATCCGGTTCTGCTCAAGACCTTAAGTGTTCTCGACACTTCAGTCTTAGCACTTCTGTCCAAAGTAAGATATAAGTGCGCTGTTCTCGCAATCGACTATACTAAAACTTACAACAGAAATTTTAAATACAATTTATCTAAAGTGATGCTCTAAATTCTTAATTTATACAACATAATCAAAATCTAATTACAAATTATCCTTACAAAAAGAAATCCAATGAGACAATGACATCATCTAAAGTCACCATTATCTCTAAAGCTATTCCGTGGTGAAGATAGATACCTCTTTGATATGGAAGCAAATTGGAACCAACAAAGTGTGGCTTTCTATTAAGGGTGAGCAACCTCATCCTAAAAAATGTTCACCACCTCATAAGTAAAAAATAACTTAAAATTAACAAGTAAAAGAATCATGAAGTACTAAGGTGCGGTGTGATATGTTGTAATTGAGCTACATGTATCATTTTGGTAAGTGGATCAATAAATTTAGTCACTCCTAGAGGCATCCCAGAAACTTTATGCATTCACAAAATCACCAATTAAGTCCAACAAATGTACAAACGTTTACTCTACTAATCAATCGCTTTGCATCACTTAGCAAATTGTGCAAATACTTCATAGCTGAAAGAAATTGCTGATTTAATATTGCGGAGGGGAAAACCTTAGCCTCCTCCTCCTCTTTTCTTCTCTTCCTTCAATTCTTTTGGCTTCAGTTATAAATGGATTCATTTAATCACAATTTCCATTCTATCTATACGTTTATTTCTAAGTGATGTCTAGTGATGTTATTTTCAATGGTGAATTGTCGTCTGCCAGGTGTATATTCTCCGTCATCACTGATTGGGTGTTCTTGTGTGCTGGTAATATTTTTTTAGCGGCTTCTTCATCAATCATGAATCTAGATTTTTTCTGCATCAATATTGTGGCCGATTGCCCAAACCCGGATACCTTCTTTTCATTATTCCTTTTCTTCCGGGGTAAAAAAAATTGAGGCCAAATGCCCTCCCCCTGAACCACCGTCAATCCAAGAAGACAGGGTTGCATATATTGCTTTCTTTCCGGTGGCTGGTGAAACCGGAACAAATACTGCACTTGACTCCTTACCGATGGCTAGCAAAATCGAGAGACTTAATAGTTCCTTTTTGGTGGTTGTTCAAACCGGATCCATTTTGAGTAGCATGAGCAGTCACACTACGGTACTAGTCTACATCGTTGCAGGGTTAGTGAACATGAGAACCTTTATAGGTCTTTTTTGTCTTTGTCTCGCCCTAGTGTAGCATTGAACGCTATGCTTGTAATGCTTCTACTTTTGATTGTTATGTTTCTTCATATCCTTATCAATAATAATTAAGTTATTTTTTTATAAAAAAAAACTAGTCATAATAATTAACAATATGTCATAGTATCATTAAAAAACATTAGTCAAAGTAATTAATTTGATACCTATGTGATATGACAACTTCTTTATTAAGTAATTGATCTAAACAGGAGGAAAACATAACATTTTCCTAAACAGAGTACACCTCTAATCTTCCATACATAGGATTAAATATTAATTTTCTACCCCTAATACCTATATTCTATTTAATTAATTGCCCTGTAGTTTACTTGGGCTACATGATCAGTCCATTGGTTGTGGGACAGTTTGGAGGCGGCAACCAGAAGTTGAGTTCCGAATGTTCAAAGTATTTGTCCCATACCGAAAAGTTATAAAACAATAAAACACTATATAAGACTTTGAACTCCTCCTCCTATCAGGGTTGACCTTTTAGGATGGAACCCTAAGTCTCAACATGATATCAAAGCCAAGTCCAGTTGTGGTTTGACGGCTTGTTTAACACCCATGATTAAGGGTAACTTGTTAAGGGTCTGTTTGGCCCATTTATACATCTTGATATTGTCCAGCCTAGTCCAGACTGAGGCTTTCTATCAGTGTTGACCTCTTAGGATGAAACCCCGGGTTTTAACACGGTATCAAAGCCAAGTCCGATTGTGGTTTGACGCCTTGTTTAGCACATATGATTAATGATAGCTTGTTAAGAGTTTGTTGGGGCCATATGTATACCCTTATATTGTCCATCCTGGTTCAGACTAAGAGGGCGTGTTAAAGTTTTTGTCCCACGTCGGAAAGCTATAAAAAACAAAACAATATAAGATTTTGAGCTACTACTCCTCGTATAAGAAGTGGTATCTAAGCAAAAAAAGTTGCATCCTATTTTTGCCTTTTGATCATGTTGTACACAGATCGGGAATTAACTCTTCTTTATTTACTTTTTAAGTAAAAAGTTACATCTTGTTACGCATATAAGAAATGCCGTTTGCAAAAAAGAAAATTGAGAGACTATATTTCAATATTGAAAATACAAGAGGGCCCAGAAGTATACTTTTTCCTTGGTATATGTAAACTCCCGTATACTACGTATACTTTGTAGTGGTAGACTTGAAGCATAGCTATTAATGCTCTCTTAATTCATCCATTGTACATGGTGATATAGAAAACATAGTAAGACAACATTCCCACGTGCATAAGATGAATTGCTTCTTGATCTGAGTTCGATCTATTGTTGTTGCAAAAAAACAAAGGGCAACGCCAGAAATGGTGTGTACACACACATATATATGTATGTATAAGTATCAACATGTGTTGCTTCATAAGTACTGCCTATGTATCCTAGCTCTGTTCTCCTCCCACCATACTCTGGCGTGCATCTCGCCAAATTTTTCACGGCTGCATTTTCACATGACTCAAAGAACCAATATATAATCATCCCAAGGGTTGATTTAAGTGAAAACCATACTTAAATAAGAAACCATCTTGTTGAGAGCATACAATTCAATCCAAGTGAACACGATCTATGAAATGGGCGTATAGAATCATAGTGGCCGACTTGAGAAATCATTTTATTGTCAACTATTCGTTAAAGAGAAAATTCCCTAAATAAGACTAAAACAAGGATAATGTTCATAAATAAGACTATCATCGTTTTATTACCAAAATAGGACTCATTCACTCCTAGTTTGAGAAGTTTTAATCAACTTATTTATTAATAGAACTAAATAAGTCATATTTGGGGAATAACACATACATAGTCCTATTTTAAAATTTTGTGTAGGTTTAAGTCCTATATTGAGCAATTTCTGTTCATTAAATGCTTATTATTAGTAGTAATAACATCTAACTATTCATTGCATTGGTATGGATTTAATTAGATACATTCTTTATTTACATGAACTCCGCCATGAGATCATTTTTTTGGTATCATCCCTGTCCCAAGCCAGGATAAAGGAGGAGGGTGCTGTGGTAGGCGTGTGACGGCCAACAGTATAACTTAGACACATCACATGACATGAATCAAAATATGAATATCGCCACAGCTAGGTCGTCGCCCGTAAGCGACACGTCATCCCTCCGCCTAGGGGTAGTGTCAAATGAGCAAGGGCGCGCTAAACTTCATAGGCCTGAGTGTGGTGATAAGAATGCTAAGGCTGCTAGGCCGTCGCCCGGAAGCGATGCGCCACTCCAATGCCTGGGGATGGTGTCAAATATGCAAGGGCATGGTGGAGGTCGATGTGGGGTGAAGAAGAGAAGGCAGGGTGTTAGATTGCGCTTTGGGACATGGAATGTTGGCTCTCTTACCGGAAGATCATCTGAGATAGCCGAGGTTATGAAGAGGAGGAATATCAGCATAATGTGCATGCAAGAAACTAAGTGGGTTGGAGAAAAGGCACGCGAGATTAATCCTGGAGGTTTTAAGCTTTGGTACTTGGGGAGAGAGAGGAACAGAAATGGAGTAGGCATTATGGTGGCACATGATTATGTTAACGGTGTGGTTGAAGTGTTTAGGAAGAACGATCGCATCATGAGCATTAAGTTGATAATAGGGGATGAGATCGTGTCCGTGGTTAGTGCCTATGCACCACAAGTGGGATTGGATGCATCTATCACTCAACAATTTTGGGAGGATCTTGAGGAAGTGGTGCGACGAGTGCCAAGGGGAGAGAAACTGGTCATAGGAGGTGACCTCAATGGGCATGTGGGCCCAAGTCGTGATGGTTTTGAGAGTGTCCATGGCGGACATGGTTTTGGCACTAGAAATGAAGCGGGGAAGAACATTCTGGATTTTACCTCGACATATGAGTTGGCTGTGATGAACACTTGGTTCAAGAAAAGAGACTCTCACCTTGTCACCTATAGAAGTGGAGCTAATAGTACCCAAATTGACTACTTTTTAGTACGGACGACTTGGAGAACTAGCTACACTGATTGTAAGGTTATCCCAGGTGAGAGTGCTGTCACTCAGCATAAGGTGCTTGTGCTTGATTTTCGAGGTGAAAAGAGGGGACAAGTTAAGGTACAAGGGGAGCCAAAGATAAAATGGTGGAGGCTCGAGGGGAATCTCCAACAAAGTTTTGCACACAAAATGTTGGAGGAAGATGTTTGGTCTATTAATAATGACACACATGTGGATGATGTGTGGTTATCAATGGAGTCCAGCATTAACAAAGTGGCGAAGGAGATACTCGGAGAATCTAAAGGATGTCTGCCACCAAAAGAGGACACATCTTGGTGGAATGATGAGGTGAAACAAGCACTAAGGGCCAAAAGAGAATGCAATAAGAAATTGGGCAAAAGTTGGAGCGACGAGAACATATAGGAGTACAAAGAGGCTAGAAGAAGAGCAAAGAAAGTTGTGAAGGAAGCCAAAGGAAAAGTGAATAAGGAATTGTATGTAAAGTTGGATTCTAAAAAAGGAGAAAAAGATATCTACAGAATTGCTCGCCTTCGTGACCGTAGGACTCAAGATATTGGAAAAGTTAAGTGTGTGAAGGATGTCGATCAAAGGGTTCTAATGGAAGACGAAGAAATAAAAGAGAGGTGGAGGTCATACTTTGATACCTTGTTCAACGGGAATAAAGTCCAAGGTATTGATGATCTTACTATACCAGAGTGTATGGTAAATAGGGACTTCGTGAGAAGGATTCAAACAACAGAAGTTAAAGAGGCTATGAGAAAAATGGGCCGGAAGAAAGCATTGGGCCCAAATGGCATACCGATCGAGGTTTGGAGAAGTTTGGGAGAGAAATGCATCGAGTGGCTAACACGTTTCTTCAACATGATTTGGAGAAAAAACAAAATGCTAGTGAGTTGGCGGAAGAGTACTCTCATTCCCTTATTTAAAAATAAGGGTGATGTACAAGAATGTGCTAACTATCGAGGGATTAAGCTTATGAGTCACACCATGAAACTTTGGAAGCAAGTGGTTGAGCAAAGACTACGTAAAAGTGTGAAAATTTCGGAGAATCTATTTGGTTTTATGCCTGAACGCTCAACAACTGAGGCCATTCACCTTCTTAGACAAGTTGCGGAGAAGTATAGAGACACTAAAAAGGGTCTGCATTTGTTGTTCATTGACTTAGAAAAGGCATATGATAGGGTTCCTCGAGAAGTTCTTTGGTGGGCCTTAACTAGAAAAGACATATCACGTAAGTATATCAGCATCATCATGGATATGTATGATGCTTGTACTACAAGTGTCCGCACTAGTGTAGGGAGGACCGCAGAGTTCCCTATTATTATTGGAGTGCACCAAGGATCTGCTTTGAGTCCTTTCTTATTTGCTTTAGTCATGGATGAACTTACGAAGTCAATTCAAGAAGATATACCGTCCTGCATGATGTTTGCCGACGATATTGTATTGATTGATGAGACACAATCCGGTGTTAAAGCAAAGTTGGAAGTATGGCGACAAACATTGGAGAGCAAGGGTTTCAAACTGAGCCAAAGCAAGACTGAGTATATGGAGTGCAAGTTCGGTGGAGGTTGAAGCAGTAGCAACAGTGGGATTACTCTTGATGGTAAGGAGATACCGGTGTGTGATATGCTCCGTTACTTGGGATCCATAATTCAGAAGGGTGGTGAATTAGATGGAGATATATGTCATAGAATCAGAGCTGGGTGGATGAAATGGAAAAGTGCTTCAGGATTTCTATGCGATCGAGGTATGCCGACTAAACTGAAAGGTAAATTTTATCGTACAACAATTAGGCCGGCATTAATGTATGGCGTAGAGTGTTGGGCGGTGAAGCAATGCCACATTCAAAAGATGAGTGTGACAGAGATGCGTATGTTGTGTTGGATGTGTGGACATACCAGAAAAGACCGCCTGATGAATGAGGTAATCATACAAAAGGTGGGAGTAGCACCTATAGAAGATAAGATGTAGAAGTCTCGTTTGCGGTGGTTTGGGCATGTGCATAGAAGACCGAGTGATGCACCTGTTAGATGACTTGAGGGGTGAGGAGAAGAGTCAGAGAAGAGAGGGAGGGGAAGACCCAAACAGACTTGGATTAGAGTAATCAGAACTGATATGCGTCTTCTTGGGTTGGATGAGAGTATGGCTTTGGAGAGAGCAAAGTGGAGGACGCACATCCATGTGGACGATTGATGTCTTGTCTACCTTTCCTCTCGTGTTTCTTTTATCGTTTATCTTCTTTATCTTTTTATATTCTTATGTTATTTTTAGCTTATAGCTTTTTTATGCTCTTTTATTTATTTTTCTCTTATCTTGGTTATATTCTTGTGTTATTGTTATCTTATATTTATGTACCTTTATTTCATTCATTTTATCTTACTTTTTTTTCCTTTTCTTGTCTGTCTTCTCTTTTTGGCATCGATATCATAGATTCATAGATCGATTCATGTTAGCCGATCACAAATTCTTTTGGGATTAAAACTTGGATGTTGTTGAATCAACACTCATCATATCAATAAAAATGTGAAATGCAATTACCATTTTAGATACATCAAAGTTGGACATATATGGAGATATTTCTATGCATGTGCTTCATATAGGAAGAATGGAAGATCAATGTCTCTTTGAATATAATGTGGTATTGGAACTTTTAGGAAGGAAACACGTAAGTTTGTAAGTTTTTTTAGAACAATATTAAGATTGCATATATTCTGTATTTTTGGATATTTTATTTGAGAATGAGTAATTCCCTAGCCTAAATAAAAGGATAATTTCAACAATATGAGTTTAATGTTTAAATTCCTTAAATAGGACTAACTCTTCCTATTCTACCTTTTTACTTGTCCTTCCTAAAAGGATTTTTAAATAATCATTATAAAACATAAAAAAATATAAAAAAAATCGTAAAAAATAAATAAAAAATATACCGACCTCAACCACCATCTCAGCCACCTTCCGGCACCGCCAACTCTAGTCACCGGAAAAGATTTCCAAGTTGGGAAAAAATGTATCATGGTGGCAATTTTGAAAAGAAGACTAGATATTTTAAGATAGTAAAAATGCCATTTTTATGGCATTTTCAGATAAATTTGGCATTTTTAGGTAAATGTGGCATTTTTTACACAAGATGGCATTTTTCCGGCAATCCGAGGTGGTGGTGCTGGACGCTGGAGGATGCAGAGGTAGTGACCTACATATTTTTTAATATTATTTTAGGTACTTTATTTTATTTTATTTAGATTTTTTTAACTTTTTAATTTATTTTTTAATTTTTTAATTTTATTTTAATTTTTACCGATTGTTTTATTAATTTATAAATATTTTTAGGATGTTTTATGTTTTTATTTTAAATAAAACTATGATTTTTTGTATTAATAAATAAATCTATTAGAAATTATAGGTTGAAGGTAGAATATGAAGAAGAGACATATATTACTCCTATTATGAGAATAAAAGGAGTATACTCCTAATGTAGAATTTTGGGCTACTTTTAGTCGCATTTAGGGCTTATAGCCATAAGATTTATTATATTGGTCCCACACATCCATGCATATACTAAATCGTCTCATTAATATTGAAACGGAAGAGGGTGACACGATTATTAAGAAAAATGTATTTATTTGATTGATACTAATTGATAAAGTAAAAATAAAATAAGAATGATTTAGAGTCACACAAACTTACCTGAATCTAACGCGTCTGAGTTCTCGTCTTCCACTTGGCAAAGCTCTGATGGTGATGTAAACACCACCCTCGTCCTGCTCCACCCATTCACTCTCAAGATCACTGGCATTGCTTATGGAGAATTCCTCCTCATCACGAGACAGGCTGGTCGTCGTCATGGATGAGGTCTCCGTCTTGGCACCGTCATAACTATGCGTTGTTGAATGTTGCTGCTCTAAGTAGATGACGGGCGCACTACGCTCCTTATCATGCAGGGGCAGCGGTTGCACGGGAGTCTCTCCCCCTCTCTCCGATGCTTCAATATTTAAACTCTACAACACCCAATAGTAGATGTATATATATAGCTTTTAATTTCGTATGTACAAAGTGTCAAACTATTAATACAAATGAATAAGGAGCGTAGTTAAACAGCGCAATACATTTCAGAAAATCATTTGACTGTCTTCTCGATTGAATTTTTATCTGAAATTTGGTACGCGTAAACTAGACTTAATGAAGAAGATGCTCAAAAAATTTCATGAAAAAATTCCACCGGGAACCACCCCAAATGACGACGGCCGAATAAAATTTAGTTGGAGGGACTATTTGACCATTTTCCCTTTATTAAATAAAATTATAATTCATTATTCCTGACATACAAACTTTATTGTGCTTGTTCTGTAATCTTTCACTTGCACATTTATTTTAAGTGTTATACTCATTTTAGTATTATACACATGGTACAATTGAGTATATGATATAATTTGCGATTAACTTCCCCTGAATTGAATTAGAGGCTAATTCTTTTGCTTATATATGAAGATGTCATCTAGCACCTTTTAAAATTAATTTTTAATACGTATCTAAATAATTGTCATTTTCTTTAAAAAAAAAGTTAACATTTAATATTTCGTCAAATTGAATGAGGTTAAGTTCATAAAACTCGCTCCTAAGCTAAAACTAGCTTGTCACTAATTAAATTGTAAATTATTTATTAATTTTTTACCCGGTAGGCAAACCACCAAAATTGGTGGAGTAAGTGCGGGGAAACATTTACCAAGTTTTATTAATGAAAAAAAAACAAAGTACGGGGACTAGACCAAATAATAGCTATTTAAAAACAATTCATAGCTATATCACCTATTTTTGTGACTAAAATAATTCTGAATACATGACTAAATTATGCACCACGTTGGAATGTACATGTAATTTTTCATTAGTAGCTGACTTCAGATATATATTCTAGGTGAAATTTATACTAATAATTCGTACTTTTGATGGTTCTATAATAATAATTTCTACTGAAAAAGTCAATACAAATAATCCAAACTCGTGAATGTGTCTACATAGATAGATTAAACTTTCATAGATAGATTATTATCCTTCAAGAAAATAATTATAGTAATGATATAAAAAAACACTAAACTCAAATTTATGACAATGGAGAACAAAGTCAATATTGTATCCTTGTATATTAAATATAAAAAAGATTAATCTAATCTATCTATGTAGACGTGTTTATGAGTATGGATTATTTATAGACATCTTCGATAGGGATTATTATTGTAGAATCGCTAAAAGTATGGATTATTGGTATGAATTTCGCCTATATTTTATCGTTTAAGCAGCTGATTTACGTACTATAAGTCTATAAGTAGTTTGATTCCTCAATTCAAAATTTCTCAGTCACACACTAGCAATATGTCTATATGCAAAGTAAACTTATTGAAGTAGTTGTAACCATTTATGAATTAAATTAATGGGGTTTCTCTTAAACCATGGATTTATGGATAATCTGAAAATTGTCGGTGTCATATGTACTATATATCAGCGACTAATGATAAATAAATGAAGGTAAAAACAAGTATACACTAGAGACTGTGTTTGGGAGTTGAGTTTTGAAGGAGAGAGGAAAGTTGATGAGGGTTTATGACCCCCTTTTCATGTTTGGGAGTTTATAAAACTAGAGGGAATGGTTTTAGAGGGATTTCTTGACCCTCCAAAACCTTCTAAATGTTTAATTTTTAAGCTCCCCAAATTTGAAGGATTTTGAAAGATAATTGATTAAATGGTAATTTAAGCTTAATTAAAAATAAATATGAGTTCAGTTATTTGAATTTGTCTTATCTTAAAGTGATTTTAATTATAATTAATTCAAAACTCTCTTCTTCGAAATTTATTACTCTCAATCAAATACAAAGAAGAGCATCCTAAACCTCCACTCCCTTTCCCCTCCAACAACATACCTACAAAGTCTTCTCCTCCTTTTCTCTCCAAACTCTCAAACACACCCTAAGAGTGTGTTTGGAAGTTGATTTTTCGAGAGGAGAGGAAGGTTGATGGGGTTTATGACCCCCTTTTGATGTTTGGGAGTTTATAAAATTGGAGGGATTTCTTGATCTTCCAAAACTCTCTAAATGCTTAATTTTTGAGTTCCCTCAATTTGAAGAATTTTGAAGGATAATTAATGAAGTAGTAATTTAAGCTCAATTAAAAATAAATATCAGTTCAATTAATTGAATTTGTCTTATCTTAAAGTGATTTTAATTATTATTCATTCAAAAATTCTCTTCTTCCAAATTTAATACTCTCAAATACAAAGAAGGGCTACCTCACTCTCCCCTCCCTTTCCCCTCTAACAACATACCTCCAAAAAGTCTTCTCCTCCCCTTCCCTCCAAACTCCCAAACACACCCTAAATAAATTAAATAGAAATTTCCCTAAAGAGGAGTAAAAACGTTTTGAAATTCAAAAATAGAAGTATCATGTTTTTTATTCTTTGAATAGGAGTAATCTCTATGATTTAGCGTTTTCAGCGTAAATAGAGCACTTTTAGCGTAAATACAGTGTATTTTAGTAATTAGGCAATCATCCCTTGATATTTTGAAATCAGCGCCTGAAGACAAGTTTTAGAACTCGGTAAGATATTTCCAACGAGATATTAAACGCTTTTAATGCAACAAAATAGAGCAAGATATGATCGCATCAAATTCTACATGAGTTCAGAGTGAAATCAGAAACATTTGTGAATTTATGGTTAATCTGTAACTTTTAATTAATGCATTGTAAATGAAGTTGGAACAATAGCTTTAGAGCTCCAAATTATCTTTCCAACGACATATAATACGCTCAAAACAGAAGAACACACAGTAAGATATGAGTGTCACAAATACTTAGTCTTATCTCTATGATTTAGCGTTTTCAGCGTAAATAGAGCACTTTTAGCGTAAATACAGTGTATTTTAGTAATTAGGCAATCATCCCTTGATATTTTGAAACCAGCGCCTGAAGACAAGTTTTTGTCAAGTTTGGAAAAAAGTGTCATGTTTAAAAGCCTAGTAATGCCAAACTTGGTAGAAATTTACTCCTATTTAGGGAATAAAAAACATGATACTCCTATTTTTTAGTTTTAAAACTTTTTTACTCATATTTAGAGAATTTACTCTAAATTAAATCAAACTTAGATAATAATGCTACATATAAATTCAAAGGACATTAATACAAATCACTTTTAAACAAAAGAAACCCGTTGAGTTTAGATTAGACGAGACTACTTCATATAAGGTATATTAATATGCTTTCAATTGAACTATCCTAAATATTACCCGGTATGACGTGTGTACCTGTTCTTTATCTTTAATGCTTCTAGGTTGTGTTGGTAAAGGGAATGCTTGGCGGTTTAACTTCATCACATTATAGAGCTCCATGACTTTGTCATAGTTCTCCGCCCACCACTTTTGAGCTTGATTCTTGTTAAACATTTCTCGACTGTCCAAAATGAATTTAACCCGGTCATCAATAAATAAAAGGAAAAAGAGATTGGGGAGAAGTAATAATCATCACCCCAACCAAATATTAAAAAAATATACTATCATGCATGTTTTGAATTGCTCTTTAATTAAGTCAATCTTTCACAAATGTGTTATCAAGTCTCAAAGGAGAAAGTGAGAAGAGCAGTCTGACCAAAACTCAAAGAACAAACAAACTTCAAGATTGACAATTTGAAATGTTTTGTTGAGCCACTATATTAAGATTTGAAATTTCAATATAAAAGATTAACCTATATTGAGAGAAAAGACTATACCTTTTAAATACGACGACTTCACCTTTTATTTTTAAAGGTCGTATGATGTAAGATGCCTCACATTGGGCATCATTAAATTAAAACATTTGGGCCAATTTACATAGCCAACCATAGTTTCCGCCTTTATGCTTTATTATTGCCCAACCCGGACTGTCTATCCTGTATCTCTATCTGAAGGTTAGAGATCCCATTTTCATCTTCTTTTTATTTACTACGAACTCCCTCATCTTCCCTTTTATTTGTTGATTCCATAACAATACTCCGCCTTCTTGAGACTCTTGTCCCCAAGATCAACCTTTGGAAACATCTTCTTAAGGGCGACCTTTGACATCTAGCATTCAATTATCTTCCATGTTTAATTTGGTCTTGCACGGTGAATAAGATTACTGGAGGTTCCCTTTGTGTCTCATCATGATCCCCCCTGATTGAGGATGGAGAAACGGTAAAGAACCCATCTTTATTGATGGGAGGTAAGGTACCGTTACTATCTCATATCTTCTAACTCTCAAAAAAAGTCTGTCCTTGTTCTTCCATATACTCTGAATGCTACAACTACACATCTTCTACATAGAAATTGGAGGAGACTCTTTGTTTCTACACAAGGGACACTTTTTGAATGAGAAGGGGCGCCAAAGTAACCGGAGTGAAGTGGTGATACTTCTGGCCGTTCCGGGAGTCCGGTGAAATGGTCGGTCATTAAGAAGCTGTTTGCATCCTGGATGACAAGTCAACTACTATTGAAGAAGACGTGGAGAGCATTTAAGAGATACAAATTAAGCATCTTAACATGAAGTTTATAAGTGGTTAATGGAATAGTGGACTAGAGTAACAAGTTGTTCTCCCAACCACTGTAAAAATTCTGGTGTCATTTACTTCACTTCTTTTAATATTTGGCATGTATGTATGCTAATTTGTCTCTCAAGAGCGTGGACTCTGTGCGATAATGGATTTCGCTCTAGAGACACAGAAGGCAAATCTGCCTTAGTGTTTTTCTGGCAACCCAATCAGACTTACTATTTCCACTGTCAAACCAAATCGGTCCATATTTGTGCCAACTCTGTAAACAGATAGATTCCAATGACACAAAAAAGAATTCAAGAACAACCATTCACCCCTCCCTCTAGATCGCTTCTATACATATTTAAATGGGACCACACTCTATACATTCCTTAAGCGAATTCCCTCTGTCATCTACAATTGCCCTTCATTCCCTCTCATATCAGTCAGCCACGTCTACCAAACCATTCTTTGTTGTGGCTTGAACCATCTTTTGTGTGGCATCATTCTAATTTCATTTCATGAGAAACCTTGGGTAACGTTGCCACTAGCAGGAGCATCTTTGGTGCACCACCGATGCATCCTGTTAGGATCATAGACAATGGAGCCAACCATCACATCACCTCTGATCAAAGGTTATATTAGTGAAATTCAAAGGTTATGGTTGGGAATGGCAACAACCTCCTTATAAGTCACACAAAATAAGAGAGGGAACTGATCGGAAAACACATGTTTATAATCCGGCAGAGTAACAGTATAAGAATTGAGAATGTGATCCCTTTCCACAAGCTGGAAGGTGATATTTATACTAGGAGAAAGAAGGCAATACTTGGTGCCCAAGTAAAAAGATGCCGATCCAATGGGAAGGAGACATGTGTAAAGCTATTCTAACAAACTATCAGTCTAATTCGATGGGGAGCAACCACGTGTAAAGGTGATTGGAGAGATAGTCTTGGACAACTGGCTCATTGAAATCATCTCTAACAAACTGCTATCAGAATACCCGTGTGGTTAAGCGTGTGTATTCTGGCATATTATCCGCTTCTGGGAATTACGTGGCAGCATCTCCTTGTGATGCTGGTCCTTCCGGATTTGTCTAAGTCCATAATGCTTTGGCCTGACCTTAAGCTTTATCGGGGTCAGTGATTGGAGATTTGGGCTCATCGCGAGGGGATTTGCCTCCTATCTATTGTTCTCCCTTTGTGGTGGTTGACCGCTTGACACTTGACTTCGGTTGCCCACATGCTTGACTTCCGAGGTCGGGCTTGGTGCCGAGCTCGGGCATTCGAGGTCAGGCTCATAACTTGCTGAGTTTGGCCCATTCCTGAGCCTGGTGTTTTCCCGACCTCGGGGATCGAGGTCGGGGTCGGATGACTTTTTGGTCCTTAGTCATTTCGCTGTCTGGCGTTCATTCCTGACCTTGGTCGATCGGCGCTTAGGGTTGGTCCGATTGTGGACTTAGTCTTTTCACGCACTCCGATGTGGCTCCATGATGCTTTCTCACCGGCGATTATGATACCCCTGGGGTATACGGGAATATACTCTATCATGAGTCCCCCACTCTCCGAAGCGAAAGTGAAACTTGAGGTGAGAGAGAGTAAATCTTCAATTTCCTAGGCTTGAGTGCCCGGCAGGGAGTGTCGCTCTCCATGCTCATAACAAAGGGGTACCTCATTAAAAACTCCGCTGAGGAAAAACCCTGTGGGAAAAAATCCTAACGGGGGAAAAAGAATATACTCCGCTTTGCCATGAAGTCCGTAGAGGAAAGCGACTCTCCGCTGCAGAGAGGTACGAGCTCGAGCTCCATATCCTCCGCGTCCCAAACCTGCTTCATGAGTTATAGTTGCTACATCTGCGGCCCTGACCATGGGTTGATAAGATTTTCTTGCAAAAAATTGTAAATAATTCGTTGTGTGTGTGCAGGGTTTATATTTCGAGGTATACCTGTCCGGTACTGATCCCGAGGTTGCCGTGTTGTCCTGAGCTCGTTGTAGTGTTGTTTTTTGATTTCGTTCCCGAGTCCCCCACCTACCAGTCTCCCACTCTTGTGGACTTAGAATATTTTTTAAGTGTGGAAGAGTATGAGTTCAAGGGGGACGAGGTAGCTGTCTTTAATACTTGGTGGACTTAGGAGAATTTGTGGCGTGTAATAACGTTGATGTGTACAAATAGGAATCTTTACATATTCCTTTTGTAACACATTTAACTAATAGCCGCTTCTCAACATTTAATGTGAGGCATGGCGTTTGAAGTGATTGTACGGCGCCATCATTGCGCTTTTTTCACGCCTTTTGGAAAAAACATTTTAGTATTTTGGGCGGTTGGGGAGTAGTGCGCCACATGTAAGCTTCCCGTTCGATTCTGAAGGGAAGTATAAAAGGTGAAAGCTTTTGTCTTTCTCCCTTGCGCTTTCTTTGTGTTCGAGCTTTCAGAATTTTCAAGAAATCCTAGAGTTCTTCTTCTCCGGCTAGCGTTACCGAAGTTTCAGTTTTCTCCGTCGATTTCCCGTGCTAGGTTAGTCTCCGGGCTCTGGTTGTTTATATTCCGTTTGTCACAGGTTAGTCGGAAAACTTAGAATGAGGGTTTTTCCGTCAAACTGGGTTTGCGAACAATGAGGGGTTTACAGTCCCCCATTGTTGTTGAGGTTGGTACCTCTGAACAAGGAATCGCATGTTGGTGTCGATTCGAGTGTTTAATTTTTGTTTGGGGGTCGAATTGTTGCTCCTTAACCCCATGTTGATATTCTGCATGTTCGTGTTTTTTCTGCAGATTTCGGAGATGTCTTCTCACAGTGCTTCTGCTAACACCGGAGATAGGGCCTATCCTCAGCATGAGGTCGAAGGAGTTGCCTCAGTGTTTGATGTTCCCCCCCTCCGCTCTTTGAGGAGGCGAAGAGGTGGTAAGGGGAAGGGTGGGGATGCGGTAGGCACCCTTGCAGAGAACGGGCCCCTTGTGGACGTGTGCGCCCTTACTGATGCTGAGTGGGCCGAATCCAGGCGCATGGCTAATCCCACCGTCGATGTTGTGAGGCCTGAGGCGGGGAATTTGGCGTCCTCTTGCTTTTCGGGCTTCTTCACGGTCCATGTGGATGCAATGGACCATGGGTTTCGCTTCCCGCTGCACCCGTTTTTTTGGAGTACCTCAACTGGGTTGGGCTGCTCCCTTGTCAGATAACCCCCAATGGGTATTATCTGATTGCCGCCTTCCTATTGCGCTGCAAGGTGTTGAAGCTGGAGGCTAGCGTCAGCCTTTTCTGGCACCTGTTTCAAATCGGCCTCAATAGCTCTCTGGAGCATCAGGGGTATGCCACGATTTCTCAGAGGTTTGGGAGGAGTAGATTCTACCATATTCCGTCGTCGCACCATGGGTGGAAGCACATGTTTGTGTTTATCTGTACCGATAGGAGGGCGGGGTCTCCCTTTACTGCCCCTAGCGCGCTCTCATTCAACAGGCATGATGTTGGTGCCTTAGGTGAGCTTGTTGACGGTGTGGACACCTACGTCAAGTACGGTGATTTGGACATAAAGGCCTTCTTACCCGAGGAGAAGTTGAAGGGCTTGGGTTTCATTTTCTACACTGAGGCTCCTGTCGAAGACCAAGGGGCTGCAGTAGGCGACGAACTGCAGGGTGATGCGCAAGCCGCTGCCCAGGAGGAGGCCGATATTGATGCAGCTGTTGCGGCGTCCGTAGCCATGGAGCAGAGTTCAGGAAGAACTGCCGAGCCTACTGCTTCCGAGGTCTTGGGACTGCAGTCTTCGGGTGAGGAGAGGGCTTTTGCCCATATGTCCCCTCCTGGGTATGAGTCCTCTGAGGATGAGGAGCCCGTGTTGGAGAGGAGGAGGCGTCAGAAAGGAGCGTCCTCTTCCGAAGTTGCTGCTTCTGCGGGAATGGTAGATCCTGTAAGGAA